TTATAGTATAAAAGTATAATTTTATTTGTTCTCCTATATGCAGGATATATATAATGCATTATACTATGTAAAATGACCATGCAGCTTCTCGTCGGAAGATGTTACTAAACTCCTCCGATAGTTTGTTGTATGATTGGTAGGTTTATGGTATTACAAGTAGAGGAGCACATGTGTGCGCGACGGGTCGACGTCTTTTACCGCTTTCTTCACTAAACGCAACTTCAATTGAATCAACAGCAATGATGTTACTACCACTAACATATTGGAGAAAAATACTTACTAGGTTGTCGTCGAGGGACTTAACGAACCGCTTCAAATGGGAGAAACACTCTCTTTGGGCATCGGTGGCTGGATTTGAGGTCAAGAGCTTGCAAACCTTTTTCTGAGTAGGCTTTTTAGCTTCATAAAATCTCACCAAGCTATCAACAGTTTTAAATTCTTCAAAACGTTTAAGTTCGTTCACAATCGGAGACCAGGCATTAGCTACGTACTTCGGACGCTGTATTATCTCTTGATGTGCTAATTCTTTGATTATTTTTGGCATTGTGTCCTTTCTAACCCCTCTGCGGCACTTGTAGCTTGAGAGCACGTCAGTCACATCCTCGTCTGTTGATGGATCAGGGCATTCGTCAGTGACACTTCTTTTTAGAGTTTCACTCTCATCTTTGGATATGTATTGATGAAAAGATTCTACAAGCCATTCTTTAGCAAGCAACTCCTCCGGGAAGAGACAGGAAGCTATGAATGCACTCGACAGAGTAACAGGAAAGTATCCAAACTTGGTAAATCCTGCAACAAGGACACGCGCAATATTTTTCCATTCACTTTGCTGGTAGTCATGACGTATCGCTGGAACTTTTTCGGAAGCACCAGTAGCAAGTGAGTTGTAAAATTCTCTCCAAAATATACTGAGCGCCTCTCTCTTTACACCAGCACCTCTTCCGTTATCGATGTTTCCTCTCTCGTCGATAAATACAATTTCAAGGCAACAAGACAAAATTATTTCGTCTTTAAATGCAATGATCATATCCTTTAACACGTTATTGCGGTTAATAGCGATTTCTTTAACCAACTGAGTCGGAGTGTTCTCCTCAACTTGATGATCGTTGGCCAACTCATCGTGTGCATCAATGACTTCATCTCTATAGTCTGCCAATACAAAAAAACAACCACATGGTCAAGGATACTCGTAAATTTCTCTACAGTATGTGGCAATTAAGAGAAAAAAACCAACCCTGGCTTGCGAGGTTGAGAAAGAACCCGCCTTTAAAAATTTTGTGGATGGTGAATCCGATCAGTGGTGGATTCAGCAAAGTTTTCTTGGGGGGGGGTGCTAACCAATGGCGAAACGAGCGCCGAAGGCGCGAGATTTCTTGGGTGGTCCGGGGGCATACTCCCCCAGAAAATTTTTAAAATTTCGGTCTCTGAAATGGCATTTCCAGCATTCTGAGAAAACATTCTGGAAAATCTTTAGATTCTCAAAAGATTTAAAAATTCAGAATATTTAATATTGGCTATTCCGCTATTGTCAACTAGTGATACGCAACTGAATTCCTTAACATAAGTTGGTTAGAATTAGGATAAACGTCATTTTTGCACCCACCCCCCCATGCACCCCTGTTGACCAGAGCCTGGGGGTGCGCACCCCCCCCCTGCACCCCCGAGAGGATTATGAACGTTTTATATTGAGCGATAGACCGAAATATATTCCAATGAAGCCGGAAAAACTTGCAAAGTTATCCCAAGAAGATAGACAAGAATATGAGAACTCTTTAAAAATAACAAAAACACCTAGACGTTACGCTCTTAGAAGTAGACCTTACTAAATTTTGTAAAACATTTTGAAGAAATAAATGTATTCTAAAACTGAAACATTTACCTGCAAAGCCCGCTCTTTCCGCCCGCGCGATTTATCTAACCCGCCCGCCTGATCCGTGTACAAATATGTTGTACATTAATATATGCATGCACCCGCAAAGCAACGCGCCTGATTTTAAGGTATACACCGGCGTTAAAAATAATCCCTATCTATCCATCGGGATACACTTAGTTATGCAAATTCGTATTACCTTAATCCCCTTAATTACCTACACACCTCCTAATGACTTAGCAACGCATAACAACGCAAATTTGCAAAGTTTAAAACATGTTTATTGATACCAATCACACACGATAGTGTCAAAAAATATTACAACTGTTCTAATTCTAACTTCTACTCTTGATAAGCTTTCTTATGATCATCTTAACAGTATATATGTATGTAGGAGGATTGCTAAATAATGTTGAAAACATGCAAATATTGACCATAGCAACGACGTTGACAACCCAGGATTAGCAAAATCGATTAACGAAAAATCCTTCAATTTACTCGTGGAAATTTATCGCTTCCGAGCAAAGATACGGCTATAACACTGCTATATATTAATTTCGATAACAATTTTGCCTTGGGAGGGACTCGAGTTATTCATAGTAAGCCAAGATTAATCCCTCTATTGTATCACACACGAGGAGAGAAGCTGAAAAATGTGTAGTCAGCAGGTTTTGTCCAATTTCGCCCGAACAGGCCCGCGTGACGTCATTGCATATAATTATGACGTATGTTAATGAGTGACGTCATTACTCCTCATACCTCCTCACTCCTCTTCACTCTCCACCACACTCCTCCACCACACTCCACCACCTCCACCACACTCCACCACCTCCACCATCGCCGCAAAAATCCGGATCGATCGGCCTCTATATTACTACTTATATATGAATTTATAATCCTAAGATTATAGATCTTATTGATCTTACTCTAAGTAGCTGTTACTAGACGTTTTAAAGTAGAATTAATAACTTTGTATATATATATATACTATGTATATGAAGGCTACAGATTTTTCAGTTATATTGCTGTCATGTGTTTTTACCCTCCTTAAATAAAGTTGTTCAATGTTCATTGTTCGTATCTGATAAAACGTCATGTTAATTTACATCTGGTAAAGCACTCGTGCTACCTCGTGGTTTAGCTACTTAAACGCGCGCATATGTGCCGAACCAAATATAAATTACCTGAACTCGTTCGTCTGTTTGAGTTCATTTGCATTAGGTTCGCGTCATAAAAATTCATCATTTGAACTAAGCCTAATTGCAATTTTCAGGAATTCATAGCCGCAACGACTAACTGTCTTATCATAGTCCGTCGATATTTGATGGTCTGGAAGCCCGCAAACTTCAAAGCGACAATCAAAGCCTTTATTTCATGTTGAACTGTACCTCACCGCGCACAAATTTCTTCATTAAATATTATTCATCACGGTCACGTTTCATTTCAACTATCTCTATTGACACAATTACTTCTGTTAAGTGTCCAGACCATCATATATTGATAGACTATGGTCTTATTCAACTACTAAACCTTCCCGTCTAGGATTCCGACTATCATCTGTTAAAACCCACAACCCATCTTTGCCTTCCATATCGTCGTTGATCTCTCCCTGGATGAAGGTTCCTTTGGATAGGGTTCGTGGTATGTGTATGACGTTTACTTACCGCTTGCTGGGAAAAGGTCCAGAACTTGATATCTCAGTTGAACCGAAGAACATGAACAAGGAACAACTCTGGTTGGTCAAAGATTCGCAGAATGATACAATTTGGAAAACTGGACAAGTCTCGTTGGGGCTTGTGACGGAGTTTAGGGTACGTAAACCTTTATAAAACTTATATAAAGACACGGTGAACGCCCGTTCTTAATTTTCAGGTTGCATTATGTACTTTTAGAATGCATAGATGGACACCCTACAAAAGCAAGGGTATAGCAATGAAGTTAACGCGCTTCATCTTTGTTGAGGTCCGTTAAAGTTGGCCCGTAGCTACTTGAAAAATGTTTTCCCATGAGACCTTGGAAAAGTATTTTTCAATACGGACCTCCAAGCCGGTAAATAACACATATATATATATATTTGTGCTTGCCTAGTGATATTTTTTTATTTCCTGCAATATGATTGGCTGCAGGAGCGGGTAGCTATTTACGATATCTTGACCGTGGTCCAAAAGAGTTTTTCCTTAGCGACAAACAGAGGCGTGAAGACCATTTTCAAACAAAAAAAAAACCGAAAAGTTAAAAATCGAATCTATCGATACTAAAGATAGCACTGTCTCCCCCACATTTGAGAGTCACCGACCCACGAAATGCATTTTTCAAGCATGTTTATACTGTAAAACGATTAGGAAAATCAATAATTTTAATTTGTTTACACCTTCTGTATTACCTTGTTGAGTAGAAAAGCATCCATTGTATTGAAACTAAAGTCTAATCAGCACGGTAAGCCCTGGGTACTAATTCCGCTCAGCTATTTCCATGCAACCGAGGAAAGGAAAGCATTAGCGAAGTCTAAAGTTTTATCAATAATCGCGGGCGCGCATCGCTATGGTTCATCGTGAGTGGACCTCCTCACTGATCTAAAACATATGGCCGTTTGTCAGGAGTGCTGTAAGCAAGATTTCAATTTTCAAAAACATCGTTTCATACAATGAGCTTTCAAGCAATTTGATTTTAAATAAAACATGAAGAATTGATTTATCGCGGGGAAAGATGAAATATAGGGCAAGTTTGCTTTGAATGTTCAATGTTTATGAATATTGTTTCTTTAACTTTTTGCGTGAAACAATTCCTGTTTAGTGTAAGAAAAAAACTTAACTAAATGTAAAAGAGAGTAAATTAATTTCAAGACCGAACTGAAATTACTCAATAATTTGAACTTGGTGTGTAAGCAGTTTACTTGAATGAACATTTCAAAACATTTACGAAGTGTTTCAGATTAAATTTTATATTACACAAAATAATATGCCTACAGTAAATATTTTGGAAATTAATCGTTGTATATAGCTAAAAGTACTAAACTTCAACTATTTTTTCTATTTTATACAAAAAGTATAAAAATATGTCGTGTATGCTGTGGGCCTGTGGCAACACTTGAGTTGATGCGCAACGCAAGCCTGCGTTTAGTTTTGGCCAACTACTAATATTTCATGTTAAATCAATGTTTGGAAAATATAGGCGAGGGGTCGCTGCATCCATGCATGTATTTCTAGTACTGTTATTTAAAAGATTATATATTGCACATACCAAAAATGATATTTAGGGTTAGGTTCTCTTTAAGCCTACTACGGAAGGCCGCGAGGTTAGGATATGTGTAATCTTGCTCAGATTTGAAAACGTATGCGAGTAGAGTTGTAATTGATTCGCTCTTGTACTTCAAACCTTTCAGGGATTTTCTCCAAGTGCTCCAGTTTTCGTCCGTCTCCAAAAACTAACTCTTCTATCTTTCTTGTACTCTGTGATCAGACATGGGTCGTATATGGTGGCAGGCAGTGTCCTCTTTTCAACCAGACGTCTTTTGCAGTTCGAAGGAGATGCCAAAATATTTAATATGTACAAGAACTTGTGGATGATGCTCGTTAATTAGACTCACTATCTCAGGGGTGAGAGCGCTGTAACGGAATCGTAGGCCTAGGGCGGCAGGTTCGATTGCTTCTCGACGACCTGCGGTTGCATGTTTTGTAGCTGCTTCCGGCCTGTTCTAAACTGTATATAATTTTAGCACGAAATTTCCATCTACAAAATCCCTTCAGTATCCTAAAATCTTGATTATAGCACAGGCCATACCTTTTAACTTAATTTTAAAACAGGCTTCATACTACAAGGTATGACGTACGTAAGATGGAACTCTTACATTTTCACAGGTTCATATCAAAGCAACTCAAAGGTATAAATCTGAGGTGAATATTGATAATATTTTCTTTATGGAAGGCTATTGTGATCCTGTTCCAGCAAATGCTCAAGGTATGTCACGATAATACATTGTTTTGAATACTATTTGGTCCCATTTTCCTTCAAGAAGCTAGTGTAGTTCGGGACTGAAACGTTTTTTGTGGATCCACTATCCTTTAATTTCGTTCCTATCTTAATTTACTTACCCCTCCAATCTGTGAAATATATCGTCAGCTCTCCGTTGGGAATTATATGATTAAATAGATGGCTACTCAATTCGTAGTGGTGATTCGGTCTTGAGATTAAGGCATTAAATCTTGGGGTAAGATTAAATATTGTTTCTTAGGATCTAGTTAATCCAGTCTTACAATTAGGATTCAATGACTCACCCTTTGAATTCATTGAATCAATGTTTCAGTCTCAGGATTCAATAATTCAATTTTTGGATTCAACGATTCCATCTTAGGATTGCAATGATTCATTCTTTAGATTCAATAATTCGATTGTTAGATGCAATAATTCAAGTCTTAGAATTCAGGAATGATTGAATTTTAGGGTTCAATGATTCAATTCTTAGAATTTAGTGATTCAATCTTAGGATTCAATGACACAATGTTAGGATTCAATGATTCAGTCTTAGGATTCAATAATTCAATTTTAGGATTTGATGATTCAATATTAGAATTCAAGAATTCAAACTTTTTTTTATAGAATGGCGAACCTCTATATCTGACAGTTCCTCGGGATACATTACTTCACCCTATTATCCCACATTATACCTAAACAACATGAAGAGAAACTGGAGGATTGAGGTGCCCGATGGCCAACGTCTAAAACTGGATTGGTCATATCTAAATTTGGAACATCACAAACAGTGTAAAAGCGATTCAGTAATTATTAAAGACAGCCGCAGATCCCGGACATCCACGTCTTTCTGCGGGTACGAACTGCCACCCACGTATTTAGCTCCAGGCAATAAAGTGATTGTGGGATTTCAATCAGACGAAACAAATGTCGGGACAGGTTTTAAACTTCATTATCAGGCCATTCCAGGTACGGTATAAAAATAGGATTAAAACCAAGGCCACATATTAGTGAAAACAGTGGGGGAGCTGGCAAAAACTTCAGGGGAGGTTCAGCCGTCTATCTCACTGCCCCCATGGAATGTTTGAGCCTAGAAATTAGAACGCCCCTCCTAAAGTCAACAACATGAGGTGTGCATGCAGTACTGTACATATGTATCAGTATATGTATGTATTATGACTGTCCGACTAATCCAGTTTTGCCCTTTTTCACATAACTACAACGCCCCTTTCGAAACATTATATCTGATACTATAAAAGATCTAAAAGTATCTATAAAAGATACTTGACACAGCGAATCAGAGATGGATGGCTATCATAGTTTCATTTTTACAGAAAAACATTCTTGTAAAGTGTAGACTAAGAGCAATTTAAACAATTTGTCAAATTTTCATTTTGATCTATCGTTTAAATCAATCTTCCTCACAAAGGGAAGTGCATGACTTTTAGGGGAGGTGCAAAACGATCCATAGGGGAGATTCCTATACCTCCCACGCCGCCGCTTAAAATCCGGCCATGATTAAAACGCTGACGTTGTGAAGGAAGAAAAACGGATAGTGCTCTCCCGTATAAAAGTTCAGTTCAGTTGAAGGTCCTTCCTTTAGTGACACTGGTGTTGCTGGTCAATAAGGATTGGGTGTAATTTGATTTTCTATGAAAAAATGTTAGTTTATAATTTAGACTCCCTAGTTCCTACTGTAGTAGCACTAGAAAAATAGAGGATAGCAACTGATAGCTATCTAGTTGATAAATTTGTAAACAAAAATTACGTCGGTTAAAAAAGGTGAGAGATTCAAATTTTCTCTGATTTGCGCAGAAGTCCATTTTACTGTTAAAGTTTAATATTGGATACATAGCCTTGACTAGTCTTTGAGAACTCGTTTTCCTCTAAACGATTTTACCTGTATTTGTGATCATAGTCAATGGAATAAGAAGGTTAGGAAACTCGATGCAGACATAATAGTCTTCATTATCTATGTTTTTGTTTTGGTTTATGTAAGAAATTATCGGTTCATCGTCACGTGTGTATTGTATGTTCGCCAGAGGAACCTGTGGCTATATTTGTATTTAACCATTGTGTAATATCACGACCGGGTAATTAAACCAGCACACTGCTATTGGTTGGTTGTCAAAAAACAATACGCATGTGACGATGAACCGACCATTTCGTGCATAATTGACCAAGACAAAACATAGATAATGAGGTCTATTGTTGAAAAAATAGAGGATGCGTAGCCAGGTCGAAACATAATTTATTTATTGAACGTTCTCTGACTAAATATTTATTTCTACGAGCTTTCGGCTATCAGTCTATAGGCTTCAACGGGTGTATACAAATGATTCTATAAAGGACGCTAAACCTAAGTAGGTAGTATGAAATATGAGACTATCTATGCTATGTTACAAATGAGGAATATAAATATTTAATTATGTTTCTTGAGTTCCTTTCTTAAAAGTATTGTGTATTGTGCTGGAAGCGTATTAGAGTTATTATCAGCTTCGTCTGTTAGTGCAGTGTGCCAGGACTCTAAGGTTTTAAGGTTCCTATGATTTCCCTTGTCTATTACTTTAGCATTGGCAAAGTCAATTATATGATCTTGAGTCCATGCGTGTTTCGCGACATTTGACCCCTTCTTGCCTTGTTTCACATTCCTTACGTGTTCGGACTTACTCGTCTTCAGGGATCTTCCTGTTTCGCCTATGTAGCTCCAACTGCAATCTTGACACGGTATCTGGTAGATCACGTTCTTTTGTTCTTCTGTTGGTGGTTTCTGTTTTGCAGATGGAAATTGGCGTTCGAGGGTTTTCATTGGCTTATTATAAAATTTAATGTCATGTTTTTGGAGTGTTCTGGCAATAGAGGTTCGGTTAGTCCATTGATATATGGTAGAACCGAAATTCCTGCAGATGGCGCCTTTCCTTCAACCAGTTCGAAAAATGACCGGACTAACTCTTCAGGACTTACTACAGTTTTGTTCTTATGTTTTTTGATCAATCCTGAAATTAATTTCTTCGGATAACCATTTGATGTCAGGACTGTGGTTACATGATTTAGTTCTTTTTCTTTGCTTTCGTTAGTGGTAGGAAGTGACAAGGATCGGTTGATAAGTGTTGTTGCAGTACTAATTTTATGCTTTTGGTCGTGGTGTGATAGGTAGTTTAAGTAACGGTCTGTGCATGTGAGTGGGTTTGCGGTAAACGTCAATAAAAATTAAGCCGTCGTTTCTAGAAACTAATGTGTCAAGGAAAGCGATAGTGAAGTCAATGTGTGGGTCAATGGAGTTTAGTGTGTCATGAAAAGATGATACGTTAGTCTTTTTTATTATGGAAAAACAATCGTCTACAAAACGTTTCCAAACTTTAGGTGGTGAAGTTGCGTCTCGGATGGCCTGTTCTTAGTTGTTCTTCTATCACTTCCATGCACAAGTTAGCAACAATCGCGCTAACGGGGCTGCCCATAGCACATCCATGGATTTGTTTGTAGGTGGTGTTGTTGTAAACGAAAAAACTGTTAGATAAAACAAAAGATAAAAGTCGAATAATGTCGTCAATGTCAAGTTGAGTTCTGTCCGGAAGTGTCGGATCGTTTTCTAATTTCGTTCTAATATATTTGCACGCTTTGTCAACAGGAATGGCTGTAAAAAGTGAAACGACGTCAAATGAAATCATAGATTCGTCTTCGTCTATGGTAATGTTGGAAATTTCGTTTTTGAATTGAGTAGAGTTAGCTACTGAGAAGCCGTTTTTGTTTTGTAGTGGAGAAAGGATTTTTGTAAGGAATTTGGAAGTTTTGTAAAGAGCTGAGTCGATACATGTAACTATAGGTCTAAGTGGGTAACCTACTTTGTGATGCTTGATGGAGCCTCTGATGGCTGGAGGGATTGCGTCACTTGAGTGTAGCTTGCGGTAGGTATTCTCGGCAATTTTCTCTTGATTCTTTAGGTTAAGCAGCATGGCATTTAACTCTCGTTCTACTCGTTTGAATGGTGGCTTAGGTATGATAGCGTAGGTCGTTTCATCGAGTTTCCTAACCTTCTTATTCCATTGACTATGTTATGACGTACCAAACAAAGTACAAAAATCTGTATGAAATAAAGTAGAAACAAACAATCGATCTCAATATTTGAAAAAAACGAGACAATATTCATTAGACAAGTAGACCACTTCTATTCTGAGTTTTTTCCTGTTTTATGACACAAAAAGCTATCATTAAAAGATTTTACTTGGGTTGTTTTTGTACATTACTGAGATTTTACTTTTAATTTTCTTTCCTGCAGCTGACTTCTTTGACGACTCTTGTGAAAATAAGGAGGTTTCTGGTAAGATTTTGGAGTTGAAAATGTCTAATCTGTCAACAGGAACTGCACCTCATTGCGCCCTAAACGTGTATAAATCTCACAGCTTGTCAACAAGATGTGTTCCATTGTTTGTTCCCAGCGACGGTAGCGACTTGCTACAAGTTGCTCCAACAAGTCCGATAATTTATCGTCTGCACGTAACCATTGTTAATTAAAACAAGTTGATGACACCAATATCGTAGCAACTTGTTAGAAACAGCCTGTATTAATCTTGTTGCATGGACAACGTGTATACCTACGTGTAACAAATCTGTCACCGTCATCAACCTGGTAACACTGCATGAGATAACAATTTACTCCAGACTTATGACACAACTGGCAACAAGCAATGCGAACGTATGTTGATATGAGCCTGAAAACAACTTATTTACAGATCTATATAACATCTTGCTCGTGTTTATACTCTTGTAACTAGTATTTTACGAGTTATGAGTTATATTTGATACATTTATTGATCATAAAGCCAACATGGCTGCTGTTTTATTGTCTTGTATCTTTCCATACGGATTGGTTGCAATCCACCTATGTCTAGTTTAATAGCCCTCTATTAGACTCCGAGTTATGGAATAGACAAGCAAAATGTGGAAATTATTATATTTTTCCTAGATTGCCATCCTATGGTGCAATGCTCCTACATCAGATCAAATAAATCAAAAGTATTTGTTGAAGCTCTTGATCTTATGATAATTCCAGAGTACTTTCCAGCCCTTACAACTGCAATGTAAGAATAAAATTTTCGAAATACTACACAATAACGAGAAAGCTTTGAGGTGTATCCGCCGATAATAAACAGTTCGTCATTTTTTTTACTTTACAGAGATTTTCATGACAATTTTTTAATCAAGCTGGGTGCATACTGCTTTGAAAACCTAACACAGTTGGAATATCTGTAAGTACAACTATGCATGAGTTTTATATGAAATCTTTGTGCTTTCGGCGCTTTCCGTGACACTGTCAGACCGGTCTAAACTTGCCAGAAGTCTGCCTTAAAAGGTTTTTCTCGGTTTTTCTCAGGGGCGAGGACAGCACCAGCAAATATAAATTGACACTTAGCCAAAATATAAGACATATTTGAATGATCAAATTGTTGCATAGAATTGTAAACTTTGGGGATTGAAACTAGTCTGACTGAAAATTTTTCATAAGTTCAGGAGGTAGTCCATTTTAACTAAATTTCCAAATACGTTGCTCCAGATCATCCCATAAAATTGCTTAGGGGTCGACCATTTAACTTTTGAGGGGTTATTTCATGCTGGAAGGAATTTTTTCTGGGATCGTTATGTGCAAGATTTTTTTCCTATATCCCATCACCATGTACGATATTTTTTGCCACTCTCTCTTTCGCAGCATTTTTTTTAATAGCTTATACTATTTAGATTTTCTAATTGTAGTTAACGTTGACGGTTTTCTAGCTTCATGCATTGTTTTTAATAATACATACTGCTATGAAATTTGGTTCAGGGCCTCTTTTAAGGATGTGTAACTGGAGGGGACATATTTAGCGGGGGACCTGGAGAAGTTCCAGTCGGAAAGTCTGTATCACTAGCAGCACATATATATATATATATGCATGGTTTAACTAATAGGTATACGTCATTGGGCAGCAGTTCAGCTAGGCCATAACTAGGATCTGAAACAACCGAGTCGACCACCGAAGGTGCGAGCCCCTAGAGGGGTCTGGGGGCATGCCACCCCCCAGAATATTTTGCATTTCTTGAAGCTCGGATAAGCTATATTTCCAGCATTTTGAGGAGTTTTCCAACAAGAAATTAACCTTACACTAGTCCCTGAAAATCAAAGCAGCTGATCTTCTGGGACTGGTCAAATCGATCCCTGCAACCATATGCTGTTTTGCAACATTTTCCCCCACCAAATACTGGGGCAGGATATTTTTTTCTCCAGTTTGTTATTGTTTGTAAGTGCAGGTATTTTTTTTTGTTCAGAATAGTTTTGCAGAATTTTTTTTTCAAAATCACCCCCCCCCCCCTCAAAAATTAGATGGTCGGCCCCACAATTTTTTATGATTGCATGCAGTAAAGAATTTTCAAATTTTCCAAATAACATACTTCCAAACTCTGTTAGCTTGCTTCGTTCTTGAGATATTTGACAATTTTTGAAATGCAAATTATACTCACTATGACGTCACATTGCATAATGACTTTCCGAAAAACTTCAATATATTGGGACATCGTGCATCGAAATCATAAAACCTGCATATGTGTTATGTCAACGTAGGCCTACTATCGACAAACTAGAATCAATTATATAATGGAGTTATAAAGGATTTTTACGAAATCCGAATTAAATTATGCAATTTGACATCGTAGTGAGGATAATTTGGGTGTCAAACATTGTTAAATATCTCAAGAAAGAAGCTAAGATAGTTTGGCGAAGTATCTTACTAGTCATTGTTAGTGCAAAATTTCGTTGCATATATATAAGCTGCTTTGAATAAGAGACAAATTCTGCTCGGACTGCATGGTCTCACCTGCATATAACAAATGGTAAAAAGCAAGAGTGCGCTTTATTTTTATATTGTTAAATTTGAAGTCACATGTGTTTTGTTCCTCGTAACTTAACTTTCTATTGACTCGCATATTCTATTTATTCGCATATCCAGAAGTTGTAGCAACAATAAAATCTCGCGTGTGGACAAAATGGCGTTTAATGGTCTGACCTCTTTAAAAACACTGTAAGTATAAAAACATGGGCAAAAACCTTTTCGGAATATAACATTGTATATGTATATACCTCTCCTTGTCTTATATACCGCAGTACGCAGCTTATGTAATATTTTCTAAAATTTTATGTTATTAGACATCTGTCCTTAAACTTCATCGAGTCTATTCCGACAAGTCTTTTTCGTAAAACACATTCTCTAGAAACATTGTAAGTATATATATTGACTTTGTGAATATCTCAAATTTCCCCCTCAATTTCAGCCAATTCTGCTTAATGTCATTGTTTCGTAAAAACGCGTTTGTAAAAATTTACCGTCGGTCCAAAGACCGATTTTCTTTGCTTTTTACAATAAAAATTATTACAGTTGATGATAATAAACAATTATTGGCGCAGTTTATTTTTATAGTCTATAGAATTATTAAGGTGATGATGAGCGTTATCGAGCCGGAGGCTGAGATAATGATAAAATCTAAGGAAGTTTCGAGCAAAAACGTCGAAAAAGTATGTTTCTTTTGCACAACGACATAAAAACATCCTTCGCTCGTATTGTTTTTTCTTTCTCTAATTTATAAAACTACAGAGAGTGTCCTCAACCTGCAACATTATTATAAGTGCTAGGAAGTATAGGAACTCTGTTATATGTGGAGGTTACGCGTGATTGCCACATTTACTGCCGTAAGCTATTAGCCAATAAGAAGACACGCCACGCCGTAGCCGAATTACAATGTATAAAAATGTCTTTTAATTTCTAGGGATCTTAGTATGAACTGGATTAATGAGATGGATACTGGTTTGTTTTCTGCTTTGAATAATCTTCTATTGCTGTAAGTTGATTAGTTATTCGGCTTTGTAATTTAAACTTACTGAATCTGAGAATCCAGAAAATAATTTCAATTCCTATTTATTTTTAGGAGTCTTCGTAAAAACGTGATCAGAAAACTTGACGATGGGGTTTTCTCTGGACTAAAGAATCTACAATATTTGTAAGTTTGTGGATAATTTATAAGTTCCTGATTATTATTTATTAATATTTAATTCTTTTTCATCAAATCCATGTCGAGCGGCCAAATGAATTTGTCATAAGTTAACACCATGCATAACATATATAATCTAACCTTATCACGCTAGACCGAAAAAGATTAATACAGTATCTAAGAGCTTAATACTCGCTTTTAAAGCTAATCTGTCTATAAACGGTACATTCTGTATATTTATAGCGTCCCCATACAATGCGGCGCCCACTCGAACTAGGGCGGCGCTCTTTATATCTAGTATAAGAATTACTTCATTTTTGTCTACAAACCTTCATTACAGAACTGCACATTTCCAAGGTTCTGGAGAGAGGATTAGATGAAAGGGCAATGAAATATGCTTTGAAAGGCCTGTTCCAGGAATTTACTCCTCTTAAATCGTCTTAACTCGCCCTAAATCTCCTAATAAACTGGGAACCAAAAATTGGCCGAGATTTGCATAAAAAACTCGCATTATCGTGCGGCGAGTTTAGGCGAGAGAGCGTCTCAGAGTAGGCCTTTTAATTTAAAAGTAATTATATTGTAATACAGTACAAGAGCAAATACGCACTAGTTTAACTTCTTTACTTTTATTAAAGAACATCATGCAACCTACTATGGTCTTAGAATAAATGAATGCAAAATTAATGCACCAACACTGAACTTGTTAAATATATGTTGGAGTACTATTGCTAGAGTGAATAATTGTATAATTTTATTTTTATTTTTTTACCAGATACCTTGACAATAATGAATTGATCGACATTGGAAACTCTGTGTTTGATAACCTTTCTGTGCTTAAAACTTTGTAAGGAAACGTTGACGTTTTTAGAAAGAAAATATGTATTTTTATTTTGAAGATTTCGCTCATTTATCCCTGCCTCCATAGGCGTACCGGGCGGGGGGGGGGGCGGTAGCCCCCCCAGTTTTTTGGGCAGTCGGGCAATATTCGATCAACAGTCGGGCAATTTTGGTTTGAAATTAAAAAAAATGGGACAAATTCTGTCAATTTTGTCTAAAATCAAGTCAATTTTTTGGCAAATTTTGTGATTTTTCGAAAATTTGTCTTATGTTCCGAAAAATATTGGTTGTCCGGAAAAATTTTTTGACCCCCTAAATGCTACACTGACCGAAATTTTTTTGGCGACGGGGGGGGGGGGCAGGTCGCCAAAATAATTTTTCCGGAAAAAATTTTTGGTACTAGTCGGGCAGATTCCCGGAAAGTCGGGCAATTTTCTTTCCGCCCCCCTAATTTTTTCCTTCCGGTACGCCCATGCCTGCCTCGTACCCAGGCGCTGTGTATTGTTCTACGGCTTGCGTGGCCTTTGCGTGGGCCGCGTGATCGCGCGTGTACAAACCAAAACGCCTGGATACGATGCAGCATTTATCCAGTGTTAGAAAATAGCAGGAAACTTAAACTAAACTAACTGTATACTGCATAGCTTTATCAGTTTTGAAGGTCCAATGAGGGCCATCTCTACTGTTACTAAACGAAGTAATCTAATCTAATTAGCTTTATTTGCTTATTTATAGCTTTCGTACATGTAACTTAGCTTTATGAGTTCCACACTGACTTTTCTAAAGTTGTTTGTCCAGTGAAACTTTTAGAGGAAACCAAAGTACAGTATTAAAAACCTGGGGTGTTAGTTAATGCTGTTTTGCCAGCTGGCCTGTTCATAAGAGCCCATGCAGCAGTCACCGTGACTCTCACCTGCGATCCGTACCCCAGAGGTCATCCTATTAAACATTTAGAACTGCAAAAACAGGCTAACTGGCGGAAGTAACGAAAGACGAGGTGATGACGTATTGGATATCTTAATAGCTAGGAGGGTCCCATGCTCCCCGGAAAGTTTTGAATTTTTAATTTTGAAGACCAGAATGGCCATTTCCTGCGTTTTAGGGTGACATTTGTTTTGGTTTGTTTTGCCTTTGCATCTGTATGGTGCTTAATTTATAACTAATTTTCATATAAAGCTAGAAAACTCAAATTTAGAACTGTCCATTTTATATTTAGAACTACCTTTTTGGAAAATGGGAGGCCCTAGAATGAACCCGGCCATATGCCCTTATATATTGATGTTGTTCACATGGCTAGGTGCGATTTCATCTTGCGCTAGGTGACATCTTAGTCAAGTGGAATAAAATTATCCACGTGAACGCTTAATCATCCCAACTGATCGCGATGGACATTTTCTTGCCGATTCTGACCAGATTCTGACCTATATTAATTAGACTGAGCGGCGCAGCTGGAATCACAACAAAAGATATTTCGAAGGCACCATATTTCGTCATTTCGTTCCACCGAGGCGGAATATTAGATGGAATAAAAACAGTCAATTAAACATGTAAAAATAAGTCACCCGCTCAGGTGAGCTTCCCACCCATCAGGGCTCATATGGATGGGCCTGCATTGTGATTCATATTCTAGAGCGGCTCCTAATCGAGGTTTTTCTCCATTGTACTTTTTTTAGAATATTGAAAAACAACAAACTAGGGGACGTTAGGGCATCTTGGTTGAAGGATAAAAAGAATCTGAAAATCTTGTAAGTGATTTATATGTATTATAGATCATTGTGCAGTTTTCTAATTAATGTTATTTATCTATGGATATTTTATTCACGTCTGTTTCAGAGATGTAGGAGATAACAATATTAGAGAAATTGAGCCTGGGGCATTTCGTGATCTGGAAAATTTGGTTCAGTTGTAAGTATCAATAAAATAAATTTCATAAAAATATTTATATTTATTATATTACAATGGCCAGATTT